CCAAACATCTTAAAATCTGTGTATCTACTGTTAGTCTCAGCAATAGGGTTAGATGTGGCAACACAAGGAATTGTTCTTTCTGGGTCAAATTGAGGAATCAGCAAAACTACTCTTTATTATATTTGTGTTAGTGGAGAAGCTGAGCTTCTTGGAGATCCACGTTCTGCCTCTGGCCCAAAGCTGATGGTTTTGGAAGCATATGTTGATGACTGCACCTTGTCTGTGAGATGTCATGAACACACCAAGCAATTTAGGGTGAAGTCTGCACTAGTATTAGCAAATGCAAAACAACACAGTTAAAACATCTTTAATCGTGGCTTTTGTTGGGATGCAATGTGTGAAGCTCTGAGCTCAGTCCTCTTAATTATACATCTTTTAACCAGTGACATATAATTGCCTTGCAATTTACAGTGCATTTGGGGATTCCATTGCCTAGAAGGGTCTTACGTACGTTGCATGTCAAGTTCTGAGCACACAGCTAAAATGTATTCAACCCACATGATTTTAAGTAGTCTAATATTTTCAGCATAGTGTTTTCTCAAAATTACCAATTGAGATTTGAAGCTGCAGCAGTTTGGGCTTTCTAGTAGTGACTTGGCCATTAACTTTTGTGTAGACTACAGGTGATGGTAGATACCAAATTTCCATATAAAATAATGCTGATGCTCAGTGTGGTCTAGCAAATATTGCCCCCCAAAATATCCTGCTAGACTCTTTCCCAGCCTCTTTGAAGGACTGTCTTAACTTTTGTGGGAGAGGGTCTGTGTAGTGCAGAGCTCCAGCTCTGTTTTGGGAACTGATTCTGCCCGCTCACCAGTTCTAAAAGCAGCTGGGAGCTGGCTTCTTCCTCTGCCTGACAGCAGGCAGGTTGTTCAGGTGTGTCCCTGTGTGTATTTAAATCTTTCATTTCTCCTTTTACAGTCACTTTTTAAGCCACCTTTTGGTGCCTTTTGGATCACCAGTGGCTGTGCTCAGCAGGACACGTAGCTCTGCTCCTAAACATTGATGTTATAGAGTGTGGCCTTGCTCAGTGTCCTGCCTGTCCTGGCTATAAAGCCTTGCTGGGGTGCTGTTTATTGCTCTTCACATGTCCAGGTAGGGCTTTGGCCAGAGGGAGGAGATTTTCTTCCAGTCAGCTGGAAAAGGGAAGAATTGAATGTGTTATCTCATGACAAATGTCAGTGGTAACCTCGTAAGAAGTACCCTGCTGGGTCACATCAAGGGTCAGTCCAACCTAGTGCCCTGTCTTGGGCAGTAGGAGTAAGTGATGCTATTCAGGAAGAGCATGAAAGCCCAGACACTTTTTTTTAGTGTGTTCTTCTCTTCCTCCACCACCCATATTTGTTAAATAAGGCATGCTAGCAGGTTCTTCACTTATGTCCCCATTTTCTACCAACTTTCCTATTGTCTTTTTGCATCTGGTGATACTGTCTGCTTCCATAGCCTCCTGTGACAGAGAATTCCTCCTGTGGCAGAAAATTCCAGCAGTTCACTACACATGAGTAGTAAAAATGAAGTACTTTATTATGTTTTGCATCAATCTCTTACTAGCTTCACCAAGCACCCCTAGTTCTAATACTGTGTGGCATGGTGTATGACTATTCTATATTCACCTTATCCCTCACCATGATTGTTTTTTAAACCTCAGTCATGTCTTACATCATTTGGCAGTGGCACACATTTTTGGATTCTCTTCTGTTCTTTGCCCCATTGCTTCTGACTAGCTCAAAATCTTTTATTTAGAAGCAGTTGTTTAAGGAAAATCTAGATTCCCCAAGAAGCAGCATCTGATTTCTCATTCACGGGTTGTGGCTAAAGCTAGTTTGAGCATATTCAGGGATAAATTATGTTTCTATTGAAAGTTTATACAGCTCTAATGTAGAGCATAAGTGCAAAACCCAAAACAGCTTCCAGAAAGTTGTGTACCCTGATATTTTTGCTGTGAAGCACAGCTGCTTAAGCATTTGGTTTTTCCAGGGGAAGTCCATATTTCCGTCATCTCTTACTGAATCCTGTGGGACAAAAATAATATTTCCCCCACCCACTATTTAGCTGTGTAGTTTCAGTTCTCTTCAACTGAGCAACGTGTGTCTGTTCCATGCTTGTGGCATGTAGCAGCAAAAAGCTCTGTCAAGCACTCCTGTGTGTTTTGTTCAAAATAAAACACTGCATCAGATGAAATCAGAGTCAATAGATTTACAGGTTTTTGTGTATATGGGCTGCTGTGAAAGTAAAAAGAAAAAACTCCTTTTAGATTAAATACAACTTCAGTCTCTGATCCTGGCAGTGTATCCACTTAGTCTCTGTGTTTTAGGCAGCCTGTGTAGGAGTGTCCCAATAAAGATATAGTTGGGAGTTTGAGAGAGCTGCTGTAGGTTGCTGGGGGTTTTTTTTTGGCTTTTTTTTCGGCTTTTTTTTCATACAGCACTGGCTGCTGGGTGTATTAGTTGTCTTTTTGTTCATTACACTGTGGTTGCACTGACAGTTTCCTATCAGGATTTTTAACATGGTTCTATTTACATGTGCTTCCCTTAGTGTATATACAGACCCAGAAATTCGTGTTCAAGTTGATTGGTTTCTTTGGGGATTGTTGTCAGTATTTTGGTTTAAATTTTCATACGTATTGTACTTTTGACCTGTATCTTTCAGACAAGTAAGGCATAAAATACTATGCCTGCCTTGACACAGGCAAGTTAAATGTAAAAATAAGACTTAATTATGAGTTAAATCCAAAAATAAGACTAGGAGCACAAGAATAAATCCAGGATTATAGTGGCTGGAAACTGTGGAGCAGTTTCTGTACAGAAGCTTAATGGAGGCACACCAGGTATGCATTTCTCCCTGTTTACTTCAGAACCATTCTGAGGAACTCTTGTTCTTTGGTCTCCTGCTTGAGAACCTTCAGAAAAGAAAAAAAGTGGCTTGGTTGTGCAAAAGAGGAGATCATCTGTCAAAACTGCAAAGCGTGGTAGTGGTAGCTTAAAAGAAGGTGGTAAATAAACCAGAAAGAAGTAGAGAGCAGCAGGTGAGTCCAGGATGTGCTTGGCCTTTCAAGTTTTTCATCCTGTCCACTGTGCCACCAGCTAGAGCTTTGGTTGACTGTTGAGAGAAGCAAACTCCAGAGGGATAGGCTTTCTGCCAGCCTTGGTGTGTGTCTGAGATGTGATTAGTTGAGACTCATTTGATTACTTTTGCTGCCATAGGGATGGAAGAGGCTGTCTCTCAAACACAGGACCCAAACCCAGATCACAAATCCTGTACTGGGCATGGCCCCATGGGATTTATGTTTTTCTTTCACCCTGTTGCTGAATAATACTAAAGCATTTGTCAGTATCTGCCTTAGTGAATGTGTCTGAAAGGATTATTTGGTTCTCAGTGTGCTGAGGAAGAGATAGTTCCTTCTTCCCAGTCTGTGTTCTTGAAGGACACAGCCAACAATGAACTCTTTTGTTCTTAAGGCTGAAGTGTTGGTCATACCACAGTGATGGGTTTCAAATATATATAGTGTGTGGTCTGTACTCCATGTGCTTCCATGCATGGAGAGAAGCTGGGAGAGGTGATTTGGACTGGATGAGATGCCTGTGCTTGTGTTGTGGCTCTCTGGTGTAAAGAAAGTGTGAGGCTGCTGCCCCTGGGGCTCTGCTTCCATGTGTGTGTGGGAAGGGGACTGTGTATAAAGAGGAAATAACAAAATGATCCTTATTGCTATCAAACGATTAATCAGGTCAGTCATGCTACTCACAGTCTGCAGCACATGTCCCCATTCTGTGTGCTGGCTGGCTGCACGTGTGCATATACAACTGCTTCAAGCATTTTAAGTGTGTTTGTGAATTTTTAGTTAATGAAAGGCCAAGTTTATGCAGTTTGCTGTTAGAGGTGTGATAGGGTGTTCTGTTTTGCCCTGGTGACTTAGAGTTGCTTTCCTAGATCCCCCAGTGCCATGCTGCCTCTCATTTTCTCAAGGCACTTTTGTCCAGCAGAACACACAATAACACACAAAAAAATGCACAGAGTACTGAATATGCCATGTTCAAAAGAGTTTATTCCAGTGCTTCAGAATGGCTTTTCTGGATGAAAGCTGCCTTTTGCAGACTAAGCTGAGTGTAGCAGAGTAGCTGTAGAATATGTGTACTGTTAATTTTATTTGAATCCTCTTTGGTTTTTTTTTTGGTTGGTTTTTGTTCGTTTGTTTGTCTATTATTATTTATTTTTTAAATGATTGCCAAAGACTCCAGTGTTGGAAAATGAACAAGTCCCTTATGATTGCATGGATTTGGACTGTAGGAGTCTATTTGAGGTGGAAAAAAACTCAGTCCCTTGTTGAAATGACATTTCAGTCCTCTTGGCATCAATGGGAATGCTGCCTATGACATAATTAACTTCCACATTTCCCTAAAATAAATACAGTAAGGTAGGAAAATCTCTGAAGAACCATGGTGACCTCAGGAAGGACTGAATATTGAGGCTTGCAGAAGCTGTGGGCAGCTACAAGATCTGAAGGCTGTTCATCAAGTGTGGTTAAGAAAGCTTTTTTTATCATTTTTACAAAGAAAAAAAAAAGCTTTCTTGCACTGCCTGACAAAATTAAGGTTGTGCAGAGTGAGGATAGTCACCAGCATTTTTGTAAGCAAAGGCACTTGGAGTAAAACCTGTGCAATCCAATGGGTTAATCTTCATTCCACTTGATTCCTGAAGGCGAGTGATCAAATCTGACACTTAACCTTTTTCAGCTTGTAGCTCCTAATCACTTTCTAGCAGATGAGCAGAGTTCTGTTTCATGGGTTTAAATGTGGTGGCAGTAGAATTTTATTTTTTTTCCCCCAATAATTACCTTTCACAATTTCCAATACTGATTGAAAATTGTTGTGCTAGTGGATTTAACTCATTAGATGCTAGCTGAACCACGGGTTTGGTGACTACATCTGGCCACATACTTTTTAAGCAGTAATAATATCTGTTTTTATTCTGACTGACTTTGACCTTGTTAATATTTTCCTTAGACAATCTGCTTCATCTTGATTCGTCATCATTCCAGGATAGTGGTGTCCTTGGGGCTCTCTCTTAACATTGATATGATACAGAAGATTTAAAATCAGGTATTGTTTTGCCAAAAAAATGAAACACCCAGGCTAGAATGGAATGCTTTGTTGGTGGTTTTTTTTTTTCCTTCTGTGATTTCTCTTAATATTTTGGTCTTTCAGCTGATGTTCACAAGGAACAGAGTCACGTGATGTATGAAGGCAAACACATACACTTCTCTGAGGTTGACAATAAGCCCTTGTGCTCATACAGCCCCAAACTGTGCAAGCAGAGGCGACTCAACGGCTACGCCTTCTGCATCAGACACGTTCTGGAGGACAAGACTGCACCCTTCAAGCAATGTGAATATGTGGCCAAGTATAACAGCCAACGCTGCACCAACCCCATCCCCAAATCTGAGGACCGTAGGTGAGTCGTGGTTCCCCACCTGCAGAGTGGGAAGGGATGAGGCTGCTTTGAAGGTGCTGCCTGGTTTCAAGAAGGGAGAAACTGGTGTGAGTGGATCAAATTCCAGGCTGTTCCTCTGAGGATTTTAAGACCAGTAAACTTTATTTTCTGTGGGAATTAAGTACTTAGAAAGCAGAGAGTGACTTACTCCCAAGGGAATTTTTGGGAGAGATCACCATTTTTCTCAAATTCACTCTAAACTTTGGATCAAACCTGCTACACAGTGTGTGCCATTCTAATTAATTTGCTTTGTCACTCACAGTACATGCTCTTAAAAAGGCCTGCTTGTTTGGCCAGCTGTGCCAAAAACATGTTTCCATCTGCTTTTTCAGGGCAAACAGTTGAAAACACACACCTTCTGGGCTAAAGGAGCGGTGACACACAGGGACGAATCCAGAATCACAATTCAGTGCTGGTGATCTGGCACTGATCTGTAGTGTTGTATTACTGGAATAAAATAGGTATTACTTGATAACAGCTGAGCCAGCTGGGAAAGTGCTGTCCACTCCCTTTCTTCTTTGCTTTTCCCATTCTTTCCCCACTCCCTGCCCAAATGAAGGTGCCCAAGGTGCCCAGGTGTTTAGTGCCTTGCAAGAGATACTGCTTGAAGTTTTTGGGGAGTTGGGAATTCAAACCAGATTTCCTGAATTGAGGTTCATACTGTGACCACAAGGACATTGTTCCTTGCTCTTAAAGAGTTCCTGAACCCCTGTCTCATTGATGTTGCTTGGGCTGAAGTAGCAGAATTTGTCTGATCTTGGTTACTAGGTATATATGACTTTAATTTTTCAGAGTCATTGTTGCAGGTTTTGCCAGTAACACAGCATTTAATTAACATGTGTGTTAACTATCTGAGACTTACTCTGTTAGAAAAATTTTTTTTTCAGCCTAAAACATAAACAAAACATGCCAAAAAAGAATCAAACCACTATTCCCTGACCTTTCCCATTATTAGCTGCCATTCACTAACCTTTTGCATTATTAGCAGCGTTCCCACTGTGCCCTACATAAAACTTCCTTCCCAGCTCACAGCTCCCTCTCTTGTCTGAAACAACAGTTGGACTGTGCTCTAAATTAACTTGCACTTCACCTGCCATCTCAGTTGAGGAGAATGATGAAGTGAGAAAAAAAAACACGAATGTTTGTCAGAAGCTGTAGGGCAAATGCTCAAATGGCACAAGATGAATAACTTTAAGCTGTAATTTGACAGTCAGTGACTGTTTCTTTGCTACCGTACAATTGAGGCTCTTTGGAAATAGGCTCACAGAAATCATGGAAATTGTTAGTGCAAATGGTATGCTGTAATTTCAGATGCAGGAGCTGACTGAGCTGGGGTTGCTGTTTACCAGGGGTCACACTTAAAAACAATAGAACTAGTAGTACTTAATACCCTTTTTTTTAAGTCTCATGTGTTCCCATGGAATTCGAGATTTTTCTTTACACCTTGAATCGAGTTCACACTTTGTTCTTTTTGATTTTTCTCAAGTTGAAGTGAAGTGTGGTCATGACATCTGGTGTATGTTATATTAGAATAATTCAGTTGCATGTCGAGTGTCACATTACAGTACTTGAAGAGGACAGCAGGTGTCTGAAGGAGAAAATAAACTTTTAATTTCAAATGAGAGGATGTGATAGTTTGGAAGAATATTTTAAAAGGCTGCTTCTCAGGGCAGAGTTTAATTTTAACAATAAAATGCAGTGAGTGCTAGTGATAAGACTGTGCCTGCTCTAATTTTTTTGCTTTTTTTGGCAGACAAACCTGTATCTGTTTCTTAGGAGAATTTTTTTCACACTCTGCTTAATATAAAGATGTCTGCTATGTCTGAGTTCTTTACTTGTAGCTTTTAATTTTCTGTGTACAAAATTGCTGTCAGATGGTCATTTTATCACAGTTCTAGACATGTAACTGTACATGATCAGATGCAGGCTGTATGATGCTCTGACAGCTATCTTCTTCTACACTTTTAAGGATTAGAAGAAATAAAATGTCTTAACAGGATGCACACATTATATGCCAAAAGCTTCATAGTCAGTCCACAGAAACTTAAAAAAAAATCACTTGACCCTAGATAAATGAGATGCCACAAAGATACTTAATATGCTGCCATATTATTAGATTTCTTATTAACCATTAACATTCTACAAATTGAATCTAATAATAGTGGATGACTTCATTGCCTGATTTGGGGTCTGGTTTCTCTGTTTACTATCTTGTTTTTATAAAGAGTATACATGGGATAATACAGACATAGGTTCTGTATTTCCTTTGAACACCTCTCCTCATCTTGTATCCAAATACACACACAGATAATGAAGCTGAACTTAATTTTTATTACAATTTAGCTGGGTTAAACGCCATTTTCTTTCTAATTCTCATCTTTTAAGTGAATCTTCAAATACTTTGTTAACATGCAAGATGCTCTCCAGTTTATTTGGGATATTCCTTTACTTAAGAGACAGGACTCGATACCAGTCTGGGAGTACTGGGAGGCAGAATGCAGCTGTAGGTGGAATGCCTCACTCTCTGGATTCTTGCACTCCCAGTGATGTGGAAAACAGTGCAGCTGAAGCATTCAAAATCAGAGCCTGTCACCTTTTGTGTGCTTCATATTATGGCAGTTTTAATGGCTATCAACCCACTGCTTTTACCACGTGTGCTGACTGCGTTTGACCTCACCTGCACAGCATAAGTACCTCTGGCACTGGTAGGGAAGGGAGGGGAAAAAAGTCATTTTAGATACTCAGTGTGGTACTGTCAGCTGAGAATAACTCACAGGCAGGTTATGGAAGTGACAAATTGAGCTGCTAAGACAGGCACATTAGAACTGGCTCTTGTAGGGCCAGCTTGACCCTCGTGGGTTTCATGCTCAGATCTATGTGGAAGGGACTGTGCTACTTGCAGGTGCTATCCCAGTCTTCCCAATAATCTCTTCCCTGGAGGATGAACTGCTGAAACCTTCCCAGCATTACACCTGATGTAAGGAGTTTACTGCCTTAACTCAGCTCGTTATAGACTGGTTTTAGTGGAGTCAGTTAATGTCCACACCAGGCTCTGCAGTGCCACAGAGGCAGAGCCAGTTTGGGCTAGGGCTGACTAAAGAGCCATCCTGAAACCTGAAGGAGAGGGAGGTGAGGGGGTGTGCCTGCCTGGCCCCACGTGGGACTAGCTGGAGCCTGACAAGGCCAAGGCTGTGTTGGTGATAATAAATTATGCCTTGCCAAAGCTGCCTGTGTGTAGTTTCTGCTCTGGCAGGGGGGTTGGACTAGATGATCTTTTGTGGTCCCTTCCAACTCCTAACATTCTGTGAATCTGTGTAGTTTTCTCTACTCAGAGAAGACCTAAGTGTGCTTCCCAGTTTGTTCTTGCTTCTTTTAGTCCAAGGTGTATCAGAATCAGTTTTGCTGGAAGACAGGGAGTTGCTAGAGCCTAAAGCACAGAGCCAAGTCAGCATGTACTGAACTCTGCAAGTGCAGGTGATCTATATTTTCCTTATGTTGTAGCCTGGCATCTGTGGATTTGTGTCCAGAGGTGATGCCTGCATAAGATACAGTTGGTTTTCAGTGATGCAATATGGTCAGTTGAAAGAGCCAAAACTTTATTCTCTACCATATACAAATTACTCTGTTAAGAGTTAAATGAACAAGCAAAATCCTTAATAGTCTAAATCTCACAGTATGTTAGCAAGCTTACTACCTTTTTACAGGTTTAATCACCTCTTCTATTTTTTGCTTTCTCTTTGTTTTTCACAATGCAAATAGACCAGCCAGTGTTATGTCCTCACAGCCACACAAGCACAAGGTGGCAATATTTAAATTCTGAACAATATAAGGGAAGCATTCACACTGAGCAAAACTCTTGATTGAAATCAGAGGGGAAAAAAATTCCCATTTCTGATTTGAGAGTCCTTATGGGTGTGGATCCCTAAAGAAACTGCATACATGTGGATCAGTAAGCAGCATCTATGAAGTTGCTTCTCCTTTTTTACCTTTCATGGACCCTTTAGAAGCAGTTCACACGTTGCTTCTTTAAGGGGTGAGTCACAAGTTAAAAGTCATTTAATGTAGTGTTAATATTTTTTTTTGGTAATTTGTTTTGAGCTTTGCTGCTATTTTTCTTCTCTATGAAGACCCAGAATAATTTCATTTTAACCTATTTGTTCAACTAAACTTAGTTTTCTTAGATTCATAGTGGTCAGATTTTAAAGAATACTTTTATGGGTATTTCCTTTTCTCATCCATAGATACATTGATGTAGATTTTTTTCCTCATATCTTTGCTTTCATCTGTAAGCTGCAGGTTATAGGTGGGATCATGCAAAGGCAGAAATCTAGTTGCTGGTGGCCTTCTACAGAGACTGGAGGCCCTGCCTGTGTGAAACAGGAAAAGGAGCAGATCATGATTCCTAAATTTCTATTACTAGCTTGTTTTCATCAGACAAAAATTGTTTACTTCTTAGTATGTTATCTGTGGCCATAAATTCTAACTCTTCTCCTTTTAATCCTCATGACAAACTTTAAAAGACTTTCCCTTTTTTTTTTCCTTTGTTTTTATTATAACATGACTTTAAAAGCTTTTTTACATTAGAAGAACTTAAAATCCATGTCTATGGATTGTATACATATTCCTGGCATTGTGTAAACATTTTTTCTAGCAGCAGAGAATTACTTTTAAACCAGATTTTTGTTTGAAGAACATTCAGCTAATCCTCTGGCTACAAAATTCGTCCTGTTAAACTACTAAACCAGAAGTGAAATATTTATGCTACTTGTTCATTAAGTGCAAATAATGACCCTTCTCAGCAGGTGTCTCTGTTGAGTTTGACTCTGTAAGAAACTGCTCCCTACCTGCACAGTAGAATTTGTAAATATAATGTGTGTTGGTGAACATGTTAACTAGTTCCAGTGGAAGGACAGCCAGATGAAAGGAAGTAGTCTTCAGTGTATTTTGTCCTGGGAGCTTTTGAGATGATTAGAGTTAATGGCTTGAGTTCTCATTGGTTTATGTACCAGACAGTCCCTTTGTTTTGTTCACTTTCTTTTGTGATTTTTTACCCTACTGGGGAGGAAATATTTTGAATGGTTGTCTATGAATCTCCTGTGAATAATGAATGAAGATGTTTATGTCTTAAAATTACAAATCATCACTTGTATAAGGTTTATTTTCTGTTACAGGTTGGGAACACCACAGTTACCTGTTGTATTAGGACACTTCTTATAAAACCTTATAAAACCTCTTGTGTTTCCATCCAGATTTGCACGAGAGGGGTGTGTGGGTTTCCCTTCAGTGCTGTCTGTTCTCTTCAGATTTCAGTTTACAAGAGTTGAGTTAGTAACTGACTGCTTTTACTTTTCCAAGGTACTGCAACAGCCACCTGCAGGTACTTGGCTTTATACCGAAAAAGGAGAGGAAGAAAAAGAATGATCCCATAGAGGAGGTAAAGGTCAGGCATCAGATGGATGCTATGGCCTTCAGTCTGACAGTGCCCACCCTGGCCTTGAAGATGCCCAATGGATTGGATGGGATGTCCCTCTCCCCTCCAGGGGCTAGGCTTCCTCTCCACTACCTGGAGGCAGAATTAGAAGACCCCTTTGCTTTCAACGAGGAGGATGATGACCTAAAGAAAGGGGCGACGGTGAGGAAAAAGTTGCAGAGCAAGTTGGCTCAAAACCGGCAGCGCCAGAGAGAGACAGAGATTTTAAAAGTTCGTCAAGAGCACTTTAGCCCCCTTCCTGCACCTTTGCAGCAGCAGCCTCTGCAGCAGCAGCAGCAGCACTCCCATCTGCCACCTTCAGCAGCTTCGTTAAAGCCGACAGGGCTACCGCAGGGCATCGTCTGCAAGTCACCTCAACCTCCCAACACCAGCCTACCAATGCAGGGAGTGGCACCCACCACACACACTATAGCACAAGCCCGGCAGTTGTCTACCAAGAGACCTCTGCCTCTCCTGCCACCCACAAGGGCTCCTGCCATGGACCCTCCAAGGACTGATCGAGTCCTCATGAAAGCCACAGCCTTCTCTCCGCACTCGTCCTGCATGAGCCGGCTACAGAGACTGGTGAAACTGTGCACTCGAAAGCAGCAACTGGACACTGACCTCTTTCCACATTTAGGTGGGTACATAACAGATGAACCTCTGACTTATTTTTTAGCCTGAAACCAAAAGTCAAAAGGGGAATGTCTTTCTAGCCCTGTTCCGCGTTCACACGTGGTCCTCGCAAGGTAACCCTGAACTAGGCGATCTCCTGGTGTTCTCTTTAGCCCTGTTCTTTGTGAAGGGAATGCCTGGGGGTATCACAAAGGGTTTGGGGCATTTTGGTTGTTTATTCTTCATAATGTTCATTTGAGAAATCAGACTGGAGTGTGGCAAACATTGCTTGGATGATGCAGACATCGTGCGGAAGGTTTGCAACCCGAGCAGTGAAGGTGGCACCAGCTGCACCTACATGAGTGGACAAAGTTAGACTGAGTGTTAGACATGTGACAAGTGCACATTACAGAGTGAGTGCAAGTAAAAGTTTGGAGATGTGGCCCATCATTCTCTGCAAACCCAAATTTCCAGTTGATTTGACTTGGAAAGTTGGAGCACAAGAGAATTTTTCTTGATTGGGCCTAATCATGTATGGAATGTGATGGAACAAAAGCAAGACTACTGCAGGAGGGCAGCACTGTTACAGCAGGTCATTGGAGGTGTGGAGTCTTGTCCACAAGTCAGTGCAGGAGTAGTCCCCTCCTTATTTATGTAGAAACTGCAATAATCTATGCTGCTTGTGAAAATATAAGTAAATATGACCAACTCACTGCTATGATAGTCGTGCTCTATAAAGCTTTAAAAAGGCATCTGCCCTTGTGGCTTATTTGTCTGGTGATAGATGCAGACCTAGGTACACCTGTCTGTCCTTGTTATCTCCCTCACCCTCCAAAATTGCTTTACTTTTCTGCTTAGTTTTAGATTGTACTTTTCTGACGAGTGAAATACTGACAGGGAAAAGGGAAACAGGCATCAGGGTGTGATATTAGAGAAGGAATGCCATTTGTAATTAAAAACACCCAAACAAGACTTCAGATAAATCTGGCTGTTCTTTATATAACATCTTATTTAATTGCAAACATCTGTAATTTTTTGCTATTTCAATTAACCTTTTTTAAATTTGCTGTTAAGATCTGCCCTTTGGCACTGGAGGGGTAGCCTGGCTCTTTGTTCAGAAGATAATTAGCATCCCATAGCATGTCTCCAAAGGACATTGTTCTTCAGAAAATCACTTTGATGGTCCTATATATAACAGAGGTCTTTTGAGAAATGGCAACTCCAGAGGCATTTCTGAGTGTCACAGACCCCAGCAGCTTAGAAAGTGACCTGTGTTTTGAAAGATCACTTGGTGTTTCATGTTTTACATTCTCTAGTGGTGACCAGGCATAGGGAGAAAACTGCTATAGGAGTACAGTTATGCAGAGGCACAACTGTGTGCATGGAATTAGAATACTTCATATTGGGCAAAGTAATGGAATGCACAGATTAATTATGTGAGAGTGGAAAATGTATTTGTTATTTATTCATCATGTGCCTTAATATTAAAGACTGCTTATGCCAGTTCAGACAATTTCAGGTTTTCTTTTTTATGCTAGAGTAGCACTAGAGGTGACTGCACAGAACCTGTAAAAAGATGCAGCCAGTTTTATGTGTACCTATATCAGAGCCATGTAATTGGATATTAATGTAACTGCAGTCTTCAATCTAAGTGTAGCTGAACCTGGATTAGATCTTATTCCTCCATTTCTGCAGTGCCCATTAGAAACAAAACAATGCAACCTCAGATTTTTTTTTTTAAGCTTTGGATAAATAATTTGTTACATGCTTTTGATTGTGGACATCTTTATCCAGTGGTTAAATTGGGTTTTTTTCATTCCTTTGTGGAAGAGAGGAGACTGAAGAACATTTAAATTGAAAATCTGGCATTTTATCAAATGTCCTAAGATATCTTAATCTAGTTCAAATGCATAGGTCAAAAATAGGAATGAAGAATAGAATTTTCAGGACGCCGAAGTTCCTGAAAAATAAGGTTTCTGATATTGCTGGTTTATTTTGAAGTGTTACTTCTAAAGGATGAAGGCACTCCTGATGATTATATTCTGACTCTGAAAGTAGGTGCCCAAGTACTGATGCATTTCTCAAATTCAAAGCATCTGACTTCAGAATCACCTCAGATAAAGCAATTTAGTTTTAGCAAAAATAAAGTGCTTCTTAACTCTATCCCAACTGCTGCTGCATTTCCAAGGAGCACACAAGTGACAAAGTAATAATGCTGGCTTGTAAATGACTTTATCCCACCTGCTGCAAGGAATGGGCAAGAATTCTACTGAATGTGAGAGAGAGAGTAGGAAAAGCTACAAAAAATGAAGCTCCAGACAAAATGTTCTGCCTGAGAACTTACAGGACTCTGTTTCTGGCTGTCCTGCTCAAGGATTGTGTTTAGCTGGAGTAGCTGAGGCTGCTGGTGCATACAATAAGTTGATTCTACTGCATCATCATTAAGCAAAAGCATGGTGCTTAGTGAAAGTGCAGGAGTCTTTGCATCTCTCCCTTTAGCTCTCTTCTCATGCTAATGTATGCATTTGGCAGGCAATTTCAGAGACTGAGCAGAGAAACATCCTGTGTAACTGTGCATCTCTGCCCATGCTGCTCTGTCTTATGGTTTTCCTATTCTTCCTGTGTTTTGGCACAGAACAGGCATCAAAATACAAACAGAAATGAAAGAGACCTGTTTAGATGATATAGTATTGAAAATTAGCAGATGCTCAGTTCTTCCTGGCAGGGACTTCTCTCTTTCTTTGTCTATAAAGATTCCATGTACTTTGCATGGAAGCTGTAATATTTTTCTGTGGATAAGAAAGCTGGGAATTTTTTTTCCACTGCTTGTAGGTAAAGAAACCAATAAGGATTTCAGAAGGAAAACTCCAAATTTGTCAAAAGTCAGGGCATGCTATTTGCACACTAACAGAGCTGTTCCTGGAACTTTGCCTGTGTCACTGAGAATATGATAGGATCTAGCAAAGATGATTGTTCTTGCAGCTATACTACAAATTCATTTTTTGTGCCAGAGGTTGCTCAAGTGGATACACTTTTCATCCAGCTTTCATGTTTTCCATTCCCCTAGGGCTGGATTGGTCTGAAGACAGTGGAGAAGAGTTGGAAGACTCAGAGCAAACCTCCCCTTACCAGGTTGCGTGGGCTGTCCGAGAAAGCCTCGGCTACGAGAGGCATGAGTGAGTATGGTTCTGTAGCATTCATCCTGGCCTTGATGGAATAAATCATGCAAATGTGAACTTCACTTCAAGCAGAGTCAGTGGAACCTGAGCACTTGTTTGAGAGCTCTGCTGAAACGAAGGATTGTTTGAACTCATTTGGTTGTGAGAGCTGTGAAGCAGCTTGTCGCCTTCTGTCCCAGTTTCCACCTCACTTTGAGACCTTTGTGCACTCTGCTATTGTAAGGATGCCCCAAGAAAGAATTTAAGTTTATTTGCCAAAATTTAATTGGGTTTAGTGTGATTTGTTTGTGAACTTGTGTGCCTCACTGAGTAGAGGTATATCCTGAATTAGAACTAGTGAAGGGACTTGTTGCTGTTGGTTTCTTGCCTTTCCTACTATTTGTGAATAACTTTGTTAGTAAACTTGCTACATTTTACTCATTAATCTTTATGGTAATTGTGCAAGACATTGTTTGTTTAAAGGTAATGGCATCTCTTTTCATAATTAAGTGTTGAATAAACCTCTGTTTTATTCAATAAACCTCTGCATTGATAGAAGTGATGTGATTGAAGGGGTGAGCAGGTGTTAGCTGCTAGTGCAGAAGGGCTTGTGGTGTTCTCTACATCCTGCTGTCATGAATCTGAACTTACAGCAGGATGTGACAATGTATGTCTGCTAATATAAATTTTAAGGTGCAAAGTTAAAGCATCCCAAGTGTAGTATTGTAGCAAAACAGAAGCATGTAGATAACAAAAGGAATTTGGTGTCTCAGTCAGGTTTGACTGTAGTTTCTACAGTGTGATTCTCTTCCATTATGCAGCTGGAATTTTTGATACTACAGCTCTCTCCTGTTTGCTTAATTTTTAAATATCACAGTTAGAGTTCTGTTAATGAAATGTTTTGTTGTTACATGGCAATTCTGAAATTACTGGAACTTCTTACCAGCTCAAAAGATTGTCCACAAGCTGAACAGCAAAGCTGTATCTCTGTCATCAGGACAGACACCAGGACACTAAATACTGAGAGCCTTCAGTGAATCAAAGCTTAATATCAGCATGCAGACTTCCTTTTTTTAAAAGGGTTTTTTTCTCTGATGAATGACCATTGTTTTTTAGGGCTTCAGCAGACAGAGAGAGAGAGTGAGCTTTCACAAACATTAGTTTTATCTTAAAAGGCAAATTTTAAACAAACTGTTTTGGGAAAATATGAGCAGACTTTCAGACTTTTAATTCATACACAATTTTCAAAGCAGATATATCTATTAAATAACTTCCCTTACACTCTTCTGTCTTTGACATTTGATCTGGTTCTTCCATAGATCCCTGGGGTTTTGTCAACTTAGAAAGGTCATCTCTGTGTATTTTGTCTTTTATTTGTCTTAACTTCCTTTGGATTTTTCCTACTCTTTCACATACTGAGAGAAAAGAACACATTTTCTTGACATTTCCTGTTTCATTCTAGCATTTTATGCACTTAAGTTAAACACTGTCTTAGCTAAATTATGATGGATAAATTTTTGTGTGGTACTGGCTGCTTTTGTGCTTCCATCAGCCTGCCCAGTGTTAGCTCTTCAACAACTTGCCTAATTTTGTTTATGGATAAACATTGATACACTGACTTGATGTCAGCCTTGTAAAACTTTTAATTTCATTTCTGCAAGCTTCTCTAGGGGTTTTTGTTACCTAAAGTGTTTCACAGTGACACTTTTGCAGTGTGACCTGCTGTTGAAGATGAATTGGTTCAGGCTGTTTCTTGGGGGATCAGATCTGTCAAAATGACTTGTCTGGCTAATCTGGCAGTGCAGACTGGTGGCTCCTAACTTGGTCAGCCAATGACTTGCTGTGGCTCTAGATTTTTGGGGGCTTGCTTTAACAGAAAACCAATGGAGATTGTTTCCCAAAACATTTAGATTCTAAAATCACATACCTAAACCAATGGGAATTTACTTACTTAAAGCTGTTTTTTCTCTGTCCATTTGTGTCTGAGCTTTCAGTCCCTGTGCTGAAGGGATGTGTCTCCAGCAGGTGACTCCATTCTGTTCTTTTCCATTTGACTCTGTGGAAGGCAGCAGGAGGGATGCATCTCAGAACAGATTAATAGAAATGAACAGTTAATTTCTGCATTACTGGACAGCTTGTTCTCAACATTTTTGGTTGTATGATTGTGGAGGGTATCCTCTAACTTTCTGTTGACCTTTCTTTGTGGTACTGTAGCTGCTCTTAGACTCTGAAAAATTCACCAGATTGGTTTAAAATTAATGTCTTAACAGCAGTAGATTTCTTTAGTTCACTTGCCTTCAACTGAACATTGCCAAGTAGAACCTGATGTGCTGATGTTGATGCTTCAGTAGAAGACTTTCTTTGAGCACTACTCCCTAGAAAAATAGCAAAATTGTGTCTGTTAGAAGTAACTTGGCTTCTTGTTTATCCTATTGGAAGCTAGATGCAGCTTGATTTAATCTGTAGTGTCCAGGATGCTGGTGTGTGGTTGTGGGGTTTCGGTCACTGCCAATTTCCTGGTTGTCTTAACGTGAGTGCTTATGTATGTTAGGTGATTGTCTGCTTTAGATATACAAGTTCATCTCCTGACAGATTGTGCATGTGCACTGACTTGCACCAGAGGCCTCCAGGTGCTGTATCAGCCCAAATAAGCTACTGGTGCACAGAATACTTCCTGAGTTTCAAGGAAGCCCACCTCTAAGATGTAAGATGCTGGCTTTTCTTAAAGGGACAAAGGCTCAGGGATCTTGTTGGAAATGCTTTTGTTTAGGTGTTTCATGGATCTGTCTCCCCATGGCTTTTGTTTAGGTGTTTCATGGATCTGACCCCTCACACAGAGGAAGGATCTTTTTCTGGATCCTTGTAGTCGTGACAGGTTCTGTGTGGATTTTCTACTCTGTGGTTCGTCTCCTCACTCCCATTGAAACTTGGTAATCCCACCTAAATAATGAGGGAGGGAGGACTCAGGGAGTCTCCACTGTCACAAAACTATCAGGGCAGGTGCTGTATGTGTTCCAGTGTGGTGTCCAGGGGTCTGTCAGCTGCACCATTTCAGGGGCTGGGGATGTCTGTGCCACTGCCAGGGCTGATGCAGTGTTTTCTGCCAAGTGTAGTTGGAACTTCTGCTGTGTTTGAACTGAGATTTGATGTCTTACTCATAGTCTGTTTCAATTCATAGCTCTTCTTTTGCTTATAAATACCTAAAGGGCAGGTGGCAAGAGGATGGGACCAGACTCTTTTCAGTGGTGCCCAGCAACAGGACAAGGGGCAATGGGAAGTTCCATCTGAACATGAGGAAAAACTTCTTTCCTGTGAGGGTGACAGAGCACTGGAATAGGCTGCCTGGAGAGGTTGTAGACCTTCCTTCTCTGGAGATATTCAAAACCTGCCTGGATGCTCTCCTGTGCAACCTGCCCTAGGCAAAGCTGCTTTGGCAGGGGGATTGGACTAGGTGCTTGACAGAGGTCCCTTTGAATCCAAACCATTCTGTGTGATTCTAGCCTGTTAATCTACACACTTCATACTGTTGCAACCATCTGTGGAAACACAGGCCAAATATTTGCATTTATTATTCTGTCCTTTAATTTTGAGAAATGGGGTTCCTGTGGTAGGCACAAGTTTGAATAGTAGTGCAGGAGTGGCTGGTGAGGAAGGCTGCTGGGCTGGGAGGAGTTCCTCCCTGGAGCTGCAATTGGGAGGGTAAGCAGGGGCTGTTCCCTGTTGTAGATTAATGAAGCTTCCCCCTAGATAATTCAGCTACTGGGTCTTGTAGCTTAGAAAGTGCTGAAAAACAGACAACTTTAAAACAAAGCAGGTTTTCACTCCCTCCACTGAAATAGAGATAAAGTGAGCATTTCAAGTAGCAAGTTTGGAAAGGGAGTGTGAAGCTTGGAGTCCCTCCATACCAGCTCACCCAAAGAGCAAATACCAACAGTCTTCTCAAAGTTGGATTTAAGAACTCCCAGTAACTAGGAGAGCAAAAAGAGAAGGGTCTTCAAATCCTTCCTTGTGAGGCTTTTGAAGTACTATTGCTGGGCTGTCTCAGGGTGGAGAGAATATTCTCCTGGTGCCCTGACAGTGCCTGGCTGCTCACAGTACCCTTTTGCTTTTCCTCTCTGCTGCTTTGTACTGCCTTTGTTTTCTTCCTGAACACTCAGCAATAATTCCCTTGATGTTTGCACATGACAGCCTTAAAGGGAAGGGCTGGGAAGAAGCATTTTGGATTATCAAATGGTTTGTGTGCACTTTCAGGGATCTTTTGAAAAATGAAATGCCACACGTTAAGTTGAACTTCAGAAGTTTTATGTGCAGCTTAAGAGAATAAACTAAATAGAAGTTGGTAAACTTGTTTATGAAAGGACAACAATAAAAGTACCTTTTGGTTTCAGTACTCGCCTAGCAAAAATAAAAAAGGAAGCTTTGCTGTGATATTTTTAGGTTTCTTTGAATATAAAGATGTTTTGGTTAATCTTACTGCTCTGGAAACAATTCTGAATAGATTTTTAGAAACTGTTTGCCTTGAAAACTTGAAAACACTTGTCCACTGCAGGCATGATTTCCTTCTATGTCTTGTATATGTGTCTTCATCTGCTTTTTAAAAATTATCTCCTCATAAACTGAAGTTCAAAATATTTTAACATACCATGATTTTTTTCTGGGAGGGAAGTAAAATGTCTCAAATATGGAGACAGTTGAATTAAAAAAAAAAAACACACCTTCCACGAAAAATTAACTTTTTTTCCCCTCCCAAAGGGTATTCCTGTCTTCTCTTAAAATTAGTTTATAACCATGTTTAAAATTAAATCAGTATGTCTGCAACTTTGTTTAAAAATCTTGTCCCAGAGCAGTAATGAAAGACTTTAGACCTGCTTGTGTCTAACTGATTCCATCTCTGTTCCTCTTTTATTAATACATTGGAAAAAAGGAAAATCTATAATAAAAAGCACACAATTAAATTTTTCTGAACAGGTTGTTTTCCCCGGGTGGCATTCTTTCCTAAGAGATCTTAAAAGATCTTTTTATTTTCAATGTGAAAACATTTTTAAACATTACATATGATAAATATTTTTAACAGTTTGTATTTGCTACTAAGCATTTAATTGCAGAGATTAAATCCTTGTGATTTATGCTTCCAGAGAATAATTGTAATCTGTTTTAACAAATAAAACACACAGTGTGGTTGAGTTCATATAAGCCTTTATAAAAATGTGCATTTGTGTCAAGACAGCCTGTGCTCCTGTGGAGTTTTTGTGGGGAGCCTCAGTGGAGATGGATGCAGCCTCTTAAATTCTGCCCTGTGTGTGAATTGAGTAAGAGTTTTCACAGTGGAAAGTGGGTCCTCTCCGTGTTGCCTTTCAGGGACAGCAACTCTCCCTGCATTCCTGGATCTTATTTTTTTGGTCTGCTTTGCTATAGGTAGGCTTGGGTGTCAGTTCCTTCAGTCTCACTGGCCAAGCTCTGCAGGCTGAACCTTGGGAACTTTTGAGTTGCTTGATTTGTTTGGAGTTGTGTTCTTCCCCCTGGCCTTCCTTTGTTATACAAATAGGAAAGTTGGGAAAAAGTTTCTTTGTTCTGTGAGGGGAAAAACTGAAAGGAAAAACTGAAAAAAGTCTGCTTTGCTTGGATTCAGTGTAAGCTCTTTGTTGCTCAATGCACAAAATCCATTGTTCTGCAAACTAGATCTTGTTGTGGAGGACTTCTGGGTAGCTTCTTGTTTTAATAAGTCCCTATGATGGTTTTACTGTGTTTCATGATTTTTACTTCATTCAGCTGAATGTGTTGACATGGTTTGATAGTTTTGTTGATATGGGCCTGGACATTCAGGAAGCCAAGATAAATGGGAAAATGTTTTCTTCAGCAAATGAAGAACTGGGTCGGTCCTTCACCTGATCATTGCTTAGCCCTGGTCTGATTATTTTTCCCAGTACCTTTGCAGTTAAATGTGAGTTTCTTCTCCATGGCTGTGCTGTAACTCAGCTTTACCTCTGCAGAGGTGTCAACTGCCAGCTGCTTGAGTGTGCATTTTGGTTTAGAAAGGAATACACCACTTGGAAGAGTAAATGGGATTGGAAAAACTCAGCAGCTTTGGTACTTGTTAGAATTTGACCATCTTCTCCAGCATGATCTTTCTTTAACAGATTTCCACTACATAGTTCCCTACCCTTGTCCTCTCCATTAATTGCACCTTGATTTACGAGTTGGTCTCGTTTGCTGAGACATTTACAGTAAATAAAGGTTAGCAGTATAGATTTTTCTTTTTAATTTTAAGAGCAGGCTCTAGACATTTAAATGTGTCAGGCTTGATGATAAATTGATGTAATCTCTAATAATGACATGCTAAGAAGGGTGAGTACCTTTAGAACTGAAAAGAGGTCCTGCTCTTACCATGTCTCAGGCATCCCTGCCCGACTGCGGTCCTTGGCTGTTTGTGGGGCTGGAAGGCGAGAGGCGGAGTTAACAACTCTATTAAAATGACTAATTAGCTTCCTTGGGAAAATAAATAAATCCATTCTTAAGGCCTGTTTGTTTTTGTTTTCCCTCCCTCAGGTCCGAGGACGACGGCGCAGAGGACAGGAGCTCCAGGGTGACCAGACTTTGCACTTACTTCCAGCAGAAGTACAAGCAGCTGTGCCGGCTGGAGCGGGCGGAGGCGCGGCAGCAGAGGTGCCGGCGCACGCTGCGCAGAGCCCTGCTGCAGGCTGCCAGCAGGGAGCCCGAGCGGGCCGGCCAGCTGCTCCAGGAG